TCTGCAGAACTAGGGAAAACAGGTCTAGAATTCATTTGGAAGAATAAAAGACCCAGAATTGCCAAAGCAATAACGAATTAGAAGAGCCACAGTGGAGGCATCACAATATCTGGTCTCAAATCATACTGCAGAGACAGAAATGAAACAGCATGGTTTTGGCCTTCCAACACTCACCAAGACCAGTGGAACAGAATGAAAGGCACGAGACAAATCCACACAGACACAGTCACCTGATCCTTCACAAAGGTAACAAAAATATATGTTGGAGAAATTTAACAAATGGTGCTAAGTAAACTGGGTATTTATATGTAGAACATTGAAACTCGATCCCTATCTTTAGCACACAAAAAATCAACTCAAAGTGGATCAAAGACCTAGGAATTAGAGAGGTAACTTTGCAACTGCTAGAAGAAAACTTAGGGGCAGAAATCCAACATATTGGCACAGGCACCAACTTCCTTAACAAGATCCCTAAAGCTCAAGAAAGGAAGTAAAAAATCAATAAGTGGGATGCCACCATATTAAAAAGTTTCTGCACAGCAAAGGACATTAAAGAGCATAAGAGAGGGCCTACAGAATGGGAGAAAATCCCTGCCAGGTACTCCTCTGACAGAAGACAAATACCCAGAATATATTAAAAAACTCAAAAACAATACCATCAAAATAACCAAGTTGATTAATGGGCAAAAGATCTAAATAAACACTTTTTTCAAAAGAAGAAATAAAAATGGCCAACAAATACATGAAAAAATGTTCAACGTCCACAGCAATCAGGGAAATGCAAATGAAAACTACATTGAGATTTCATCTGACTCTAATCAGAATGGCAATCATCAAGAATACAAATAATAATAATTTCTGGTGAGGATGTGGGGAAATAGGTACACTCATATATTTTTGGTGGGAATGAAAATTAGTACAACCACTTTGGAAAGCAGTATGGACATTCCCCAAAAGATTAGAAATAGAACCACCACATGAACCAGATATCCCACTCCTTGGTATGTATCCAAAAGATCTAAAATAAGGATATTATAGTGGTATGTAAATAATAATGTTTATAGACGTGCAATTCACAATAGTCATATTATGGATCTAGCCTAGGTGCCAATCAACAGACTAAGATAAAGAAAATGTGGTATCTATATACAATGGAGTTCTACTCAGCTATAAATAAGAATGAAATTATGCCATTTGCAAGAAAATAGATGGATGGGAGAAATTAAGTGACATAAGCCAGATTCACAAAGTTATG